TGGCATATTATTATGCCTGAGCGCTTCTGGGATATATAGTAGCAGTTTGACCCGTAGAAAAAACAAACTCAGCCGTTCATTTTGTAGGAGATATTTAAGCGTTTTTGTCTCTGTTAGCAATGTGATCGACTTTATACGCAGACCTTAATAATATGTTTTTTTCTTTGACGGCACTGAATAATTTTAGCCGAAACCTGAGCCGAACATTTGTTGAATGCCGCGCTTTTAACTAAATTTCTCGCCTTAGAATGATGACATGATGGCGCGAAAATTGACGCCTCTATCGTATTAGATGCGAAATATGATCAGAGATAAATGGAATAGTGAATGTTACAAGCTTCTGAGTATCCAGCTGAGATAGGGGACTTTTAGTCCCCTATCTCAGCTAGATAAACAAAATTTTTTTGGTTGCTAAGACGGTGCGGCTCGTTATAAGTAAAGGGCAAGCATTTTTCGTCAAAATTCCAAAGAGCACATTTTCCAAGCAGAGCGGAATTAGTTGATTCGAAATAAGGCACCAATATAGTTCAAATTCAATCCAAAACTGTTTAGAGCGTGAGCAGTGATAGAATAAATGGGTTAATGATTCAGGTTGATTATAATTATCACAGAAAGTACATAAATCATTTGTTCTAAAACCTATTTTATACAACTTTGTATTTGCGTAAAGAAATGAGTTACTTACTTTGTACTGGAAGGCTTTAACATACGATTCGACAACGATAGAGAGTGGCAGCTTAAATATTTGCTTCAGATTGTCGCTGTTAAAATGAAAGTTACTCTGTAAATTTTTAATAGTATTGGGCAGTTTAGCTTTTTCTCTGATGAGTAGGTTGTAGTAATCCTTTTATTTCCCTTTCGTAACATCAAAATTATTGTCACCCGCCACAAATGTTGGAGAGTTTATGGAAGGATACCTGTCATAACTTCTTAACGATAATGGAATGGACCTACGTAAGCCAGCCCATTCTAAAATATTTGTTTTGTATATTTTTTTAGACAGTTGATTATAAGAATCAGTACTGTTCAGACTAAATAAAAGATCTTGAATGCAAATGACTCTCGCATTAACATAATGTTTATAATAAACCGGCTTGTTTTCTACTTTTATTTCTTTGTTATTCCAGATTATGGTTTTCCAGTCTTCTTCAGTGGCAAACGTTTCATGAAATTGCGACCACCATAACAAAAGTTCCTGATAAAATTGAGAAGGAATTGTGTAATCCGAGATATTGTAGTTGCAGTTAAAAAAGAACAATCCCCGCAACGGAGCTCAGTATGTGTTGTAGGTAGCTTTTCCAAGTTCCATTAGTCCCACTGAAGATACGTTTTAACCAAGCTAATCTCAATGATTTAACCATGCACTCGAGATCAACCATTCTTAGCCCTCCCTCTTCGTATTCGTTTATAACTGAAGCTCTTGTTACCTTATCTACACCTTTCCAGAGAAATTTAAACAGTATTTTATTCAATTCTTTTAGCAATTCCTTGGGAGTTGGAAGGATCGAACAAATTGAATCCAGTCGTTCTATAAAATTCTTTTCTTTAAGCAATTTTTGGTCATAAGTAAAATATACGCCTACAGCTTTTATTGGCTCGTCTGGCCATTTAATACCGAATGGTTTTTCTTTATAATGTCTCTTAGATCCAATCCACATACCTTCAGCGGCTGTGTCGTCTGCAGACTGTAATAGCTTAGTTTCCTCAGTTCCTATTGTGATACCTTTAATTGACTCTTTTTGCCTTATAGCAATTGCTAAAATTTCTACAGTAATTATAAATAAGTAAGGGGAGAGTGGATCACCCTGCCTAACACCGCGTTCCAGAGTAAAAAAGTTAGAACTAACGCCATTGTTTATAACACAGCTTTGAATGCTGTTATAAAAGGTTTTCACCCATTGAAGGAAGTCTCGACCAAAGTTAAACTTTTTAAGACTCTCAATGAGAAATTCCCATTCCACACTGTCAAAAGCTTTTAGAAAATCTATAAACAGCAGTAAACCTGGGATGTTTTCCTTAGCTGTGAAGTCCATAATATCGAAAATAGAACGTATTGCTTCACCAATGAAACGATCTTTAACATAACCAGTCTGGTTGTAGTGAATGATACTGGGTAACACCTTTTTAACCCTTGCTGCGATCACCTTGGACATAATTTTCGTATCTACATTAACAAGAGATATTGGTCGCCAGTTTTCGAGGAGAGCGCGATCTTTTCCGCTTTTCTCAAGCAGAGTAATTACAGCCTGTTTTTGTGAGCATGACATTTCCCCTTTTTCGAAGCATTCATTTGCACACCTGATAAAACTTTCGCTTATTAAAGGCCAAAATTTTCTATAGAATTCAGCTGGAATGCCATCATTTCCAGGGGATTTATTACTCTGAAAGCTATCCAAAAGTTCATAACATTCTTATGGGGAAATTAATCCTTCACAGGAATTTTTTTCCTCCTCTGAAAGTTGGGGAATATTCAGATCGTTCAAAATGAAAATATTTTCTCTCCTATATTAGGACTATTAATGCTGCTTTTGCACAATTCTCTGTAAAAACGCTCTTGTTCTTTTAGTATAAAGTGCGGGTTCCTTGTAATTTTACCATTTATATACAGTTTTCTTATATGCTTTTTAACGTGGTTCCTTTTTTCTAAGTTTAAAAAATATTTTGTGCTTTTCTCTCCATGTTCATACCATCTAGCGCGTGCTCGTATTATTAAGCCTTTGGTTTTTTCTTCGTAAAACGACTCCAACTTCTCCTGAGGTACGTTATAATAGGTTTTGTTATGGTCGTTTGGATTATTTTCAAGTTTACTCTTTGCTTTAGTTAATTCTTCCTGAAGGTCTAGTTCCTTTTCCCCCCTTTCTTTTGCCTTTCTTTTAGAGTATTGAATAGCATGAGCTCTTATGTTATATTTAATCCAATCCCATATCATTCGATTATCTGTAAATTCTTTCTGTCCTTCCGCTATCCAAAGTGGAATCATCCTGGCTATATCTTCTTCGTAGTCTTCATCATCTAACAGTGAGCAGTTCATTTTCCAGTTTCCTGGCCCTTTCAATTCGTTCTCTAACTTTCCGAGTTCTAAAGAAATTGCATCATGATCTGTTCGTACAGCCGGGATTATTTCGGTCAATTCAACAAAATCGCTCAGATTGTTGGATATCGACCAGTAATCGAGACGACAAAACACTGGGGGAGATTTTTGACTCCACGTAAAACTTTTTGCGTCTGGATTTTTGGATCTCCAGATATCCACTAAATCTAATTTACTTTTGAAATCTTCGACACAAGAGATAACTGACTTCCTTTTTGTACTTGCTCCGCCTTTTTTGTCGAGTAATGGATCGCCAGGGGACAATTTAGATCTCTTCCTAGTATGATGTTATCCACAGACATGCGGGGTACACAATTTTATGATTAATGCTGCAATCAATACCATTTTTAAACAAAATCGCAACACCCCGCGAATTAGAACTACCGTGACAAGATATCATCTCAGTACCCCATTCATTTCTCCATTGATTCTCTGTTGCAGCGATCGAGTGCGTCTCTTTTAAAAAAACAAGGTCTGCTTTACGTTTACGACACCAGAGAAAGATGGTTCTTCTTTTGCGGAAATTACTTAAGCCCTTCACATTAAGCGATATTAGTTTAAAAGCACTGAACAACTAATGTCACTGTATGCAAATTGTGGGACTGCATAGCTGAAAACAAAAGAGCCGAACGCGTAATTGAACAAACGAAGGCGTGAATGTAGACATACTTTGAAAGCAAGTAAAGGATACTGATTGTGCATAGATAAAATTAATATATAAACACAGTAAGCGAAAATTAGAATAGAAAAACACTCGAAAAAATCTCAAATACAACACTAAAAGATAAGAAAAAGAAAATGATACAGGGACACACGTTAACCACCAAAACACTAGCCGAAACATACTCCCTTGAGATACTCAAATGAAGTATTTTAAGAAGGTATTAACCTTTCGACAATTTTAAATATTGTGTTTTTCAGAATCTAATTAGCTTCAATCTGACTTAAAGAAGTTGTTGTTGTATTGCACCAGTAGTACCGTAAATTAGTTGAACGGATCTATGTTCGTTCTTTGATCGACTTAAAATCCTCAGGGATATTTGTTACATCATACTTTAGTTCTCCTATGTACAGATATCTACCAACCACTTTGGCCTCTGAACCCTGCTCCTTTGCCTGGAACATCGCCTTTATTAGCTTCCTTCGTTCATCTTGTATAGCTTTTGCATAATCGGCGGTTATGTAAGCGTCCTTGAACCATATGCTCTCTTTAATTCCCTTCTTCTTGGCGAAAACCTGATCTCTGTCTTCTCGGCAAACGAAGCGAGCAATGATCGGTCTGTGTTTGTTTTCTTTTCGCTTGCCAATTCGATGCACTGCGTGAAATCGAATTTGTGCACTGTCCATTTGCAATTCCTTCTGCAAAATGCTGAGAATAACTTGTTTCGGCGAGTGGTTAACACCTTCTTCTTCTGATTCTGGGATATTGTGGAATTTTAGATTCTCGCGCCGAGTATAATCTTCCAGCTCTATAACTTTGTCTCTTTCCTCCTTTAGCTCAGCTTTGGTTTTTGTAAGAAGCGCTCGCAGTTCTTGCATCTCGTCCTCCTGTACCGTTTTAGAGTCTTTCAGAGCTTTGGTTGCCTCTTTCATATCTTCAATGGTCGCCCATATTTCATCTACACTTTTTTCCACGCCCTTAATATTGCTCTTCAACATATCAATTTCTTCCTTCATTTCCTGTCTCAGGCCACATAATTCTTCGTGCAGCTTCGCAAAGTTGCTTTCTATATTCGCCGTTAAGTTTTGAATTAAGTCCCTGAGTGAATTTGTTTCCCCTTCTCCTTCGTTCATCCTCGCTTTTTTTAATTCGGTGTTGGATGAAACAGAACTAGAGCTGGAGCCTCTTTTCCCCCTTTTGGATTTAGTCATAATTCTGATTCAAAATAACCGAGGTTTTCCCTTCTTG